TCTCGGGAGGGTTAGGTGGAAATGGGGTGGGGGAAATGGGGTCCCCAGCCCCACTAGGCACGGTCCCTGGTTAAATACAAGTCACCGATTCGGTGCGGGGGGCTCTGTCAGCCGGACCCCAGCACAAGAGAAGACACAACCGTTGCCCATGCCACAGCACGAGGCTCTGCCGGCACCGGTGTGGCATGGCAACACCAACTCTGCCAAGGGGTGCAAGTAAAGCCAGACCCTCCTTGGGAAGCGGGGGGGAGGGCTGCCCCACAGCAGGGGCCAGTGGGGAGGCTTCATATGAGACGGGTCCCTCCGCCCCACAGCCACAGCCCCGGGAGCAAACAGGTCCCACGTTGACCCATGGCCCTGGGGGCTCCCCAGAGCCCCCCACCCTGCAAGCAGGACCCCCGGGATGGGGGCGGGGGGGAGGGGGGAAGCCTGGCCTGACCCCAAAGCCCCACGGACAGAGCGGGGTGCTCCTAGGCAGGTGCTGGGAGCAACAAGATCTAGCCTTGGCCGGGCAAACACCGGCTGCGGTGCTGGGACCCATGGCGCAGGCAGTGCTGCCCTCCGCAGACATGCCGCTGCTTTGGGGTGTCCCCGCTTTGGGGTGTCCCCTTGTCTCACGGCACCCTGACCAGAGTCGCCTGCACATCACCCAGGGGTGCTACCTGCCTCTCTGCCCCCCTTCCCGGAGAGAAGGGAGGAGTCTCTGTGGGGCCCTTCCACTCCGCTGCTGGGACCAATCGACTGATGGTGCCCAGTAACGTCCTGACTCTCCCGAGCGTGGCTGCGCTGTGACCAAGGATTTCTCCAGCCAAAAAAAACTCCTTTGGGAAAGCAGAAGCAAAAACTAAATCAGCATGGTGCCTCCTTCCCCCTCCACCGCCCCTGAGGGCTTGGGCCCAACAGGACCGAAAGGAAAATAAAAAACCAAGGTGCATCTTAATGGGACATTTCCACGACTAAAGTGCAAACCAGAGACATCCCTCACCTGCCACCGGCCCGGGGACAAACCGTGGAGCGAGAGAAGAGATTGACGGGTTCAGCACCACCAGTGCGGCTGCTCGCGCCCCGACCGCGTCAGGATCACTGGAGGGACATGGCTCGTGGGGTGGCCGCAGCAGTGACGTGCAACAACTCTATGGGCGAAGGTGGAGCGGTGGGGAAGGGTCGCCAGTGGTGGCTTCACGGCAATC